CACAATGATAACAAATATTACAGGTCTCAAGTTTAAAATAAGAAACATTTATTGAACAGTAAAAAATACTAAAACAAGATGGAAAGTTGAGGTAGAACAGGTAGAATATTATTATTATTATTATTATTATTATACATTCAAATAAAAAAAAAAAGAGTTCAGTGCTCTTAAATCTTCCAATAATGTCTTTATAAAATAAACAAATATTTAAGCTGAAGCATAAATAAAACAACAACTACTGTACACAGTAGGATTCGGTAGCTTAGCACAGAGCTGCCCGTGGATGCCTGTCTGTAAATCATGCCAGGGAAAAATAAATCCGCGAACCCACGCGCGTATCGGCCGATGCTGATACAAGTAAAAAACTCAAATATCGGCCCAATATATCGGCCGGCCGATGTATCGGTCTATCCTTAGCAGATATAGACAGAAACACAACAGTTGTTCTTTTGAGGTGATTCTGTGCTAAAGAAAACTAACTTATTATATTATATCTGGACAGTATTTATCATTGTTTTGGATTGTTGCAGTAATATTATAATCTACATCTGCATAAAGCAAACATATCTGTCCACTAACATGTTGATAAGAGTCTTAAAGACCTTAAAAATATTCCTTTACATTTAGCTAGCTAACTATGGACAATCATGTGATTAATTGCGATTGAATATTTTAATCAATTGAATCCTACATACTGGATCTTTAAGGAAAACTACTAATACCATCACAGCAAAACACTAAAATAAAAATAATCTTGATTTTTTTTTTTTTTTGTGAAAACGCTACTTTCTGCTCTTTTTTTATGTCTTTTTTTCCCCCCGCTCCGTCAATTAATCTCATATCTACAATAGTCTGAAAAATACTCATCCTAGACACTTGATTTTGCCCACGAGCAAGGCAGCATAAAATTAACTACATCTTTAAATGGGGTTTGGTGGAGAAGGCAACAGTGTTTCCCCAAGTAAGAAAACAGATCAGCAGCAATCAGGTCACGACTGAAATGTATTACAGCCGACACACACACACACATTGTTAGCATGATTAAGTTTGAAGTTTGATGGAAGAAATCCAGCGATCAAACAGAGATGTGAGATGAGGTTATGTAACACACACACACACACACACACACACACACTCACACTCATCTTTAATTCATCAGCAGGAAGTGTACATCTTTGTCGACATGTATCCAGAACTTCACACGGGGGAATCACCCCTGTGTATGTGTGTGTGTGTGTGTGTGTGTTAAATAATATAGCAATGCAGAAATTTAGTCTAACTGATGAGAGCCATATATGGACTTCCTGCCCCAAGTCTCTTCCTGTACAGTGGAGTAAATGTTCTTATTATTGTGAGCACAAGCATTTAAAGAGACAGTCAAAACACCTGGAATAAAAATGTGAAAGATAACAGTGAGTACAGTAAAGCTGATAGAAGTGACGTCATGTCAACAAAGCAGAGTAGAAATACTCAGAATATGTTAGCGGAGCGAAGGAAAATTAATCAACAACACTTCTGATATGACGTTTTATTATCCAAAAAAAAAAAAAAGATTGTTTGATTTCAGCTGCTCGAATGTGAGGATTTGCTGTCTTCTTTAGGGCTTAATGTAAATTGAAAGATTTTTGGATTTTGGAGTTTTAGTCGAACAAAAACAGAAAGTTGAGTCCTACAGCTAAGCCCCGCCCACAAAAAACGTCATGCTGTTTACTAACAATAGAAGTGTCTATGGCAGTGGCCCGCAATTGGCCGCCTATTTGTGGACCGCGAGCTGAACACGTGACTCCTTCACTGTGTGTGTTTTGGTTTGGTCAGCATGTGTAAATGGGCGGTCATCTCCATGTCAACGATGTGCTGATAGGTTGTTAGCGAGAACGGCACTTTCTTTACTTTTGCTTTTGAAGCGGTACGCTTATCGATACTTTGCCAGCAGTAGGAGCCTAGATTGAATGAAAATGGCGTGTTCCAAGTTCGAAAAGTAAAGAAAGGTGTTGAAAGATTTAGTTTTACTTGCATTTATTTGCATTTATGTCACAATGGAAATGGCATTTTATTTTATTCTATTTTATTTTATGTTAGTATGTTTTTTTGTTGTTGTTTTGAATACATAGAACATTTTGTTGTGAATATGACAGTATTATGGCCTGTGGCTTAAACAACTTTAACAAATGGACCTTTGACTCATTGAAAAATGTGGCGTGCATGTGCACGACCTTCACTAAGTCCCGCCCCTGGACACAGACTGGCCAATCATAGCGTAGCATCAGGCCGGCTCAGACCAGAGTCCAACAACAACACAGCTGTGCTCCATTGACTCTAATGCAGTCATTTCAGATTTCCTTCATTTTCAGGCTGGTTTTGTGGATTTGGAGCTAAATGTTGTGCCTGGGGCACGTCGTGTATTAATGATACTCGTTACCTGGAGAGGTTGGAAAAAGATATACGTTTCTTCCCTGTTCCAAAACCAAAATCAAACCCTGATAAGTGTAGGGTTAGCTAGCTAGCTACTGAATATATAGCCTACTGAATGTATACACATGCTGCTTTTGCTTTTTAATGATTATAACAGTGAAACAAAGACCGACCCTGCTGTACAGGAACCAGTGAAGGTAAGCAGGGAAACTTTGCTGATATTCAACCAGCTCTGTGTCATCGCAGTGTTTGGTTCCCGACAATCCAGCAGCAGTGGTCCTGTGGTTGAACAGGCGAAGCCAAACACCGTTTTAAAATTATAACAGATAAGCCCTGATCAGTAAAAGTACTGTGTCCTTTTCCTGCAGCTTCATTTTAATTTGTTCTTAAATTAACATCCAGTCACAAAAGAAACACCTTTGAACATTCAGGTGAGACTGGTGATGTTTGCGGAGCAGGTGTGAATGAAAGGTGTGTGTGTGTGTGTGTGTGTGTGTGTGTGTGTGTGTGTGTGTGAGGAGGGGGACAATGATGCTCTTTGATCGTTCACAGCAAAACAAACACAATCGTGACACAAAGGTTAATGTTGAACATGAAGTTATGAATTCATTTTAATTATAAGTGGTGTTTGAAAGTGACACACACACACATTTACATACACACTTGAACCAGTCTCTCTGAATAAAACAGCACGAGTCCAACATGGTCACGTGCCAACTGTATTTTTCCGAGTCATTTATCTCTCTGCAGGAGACTCAGTGTACATTTAGCTGAGCAGCACTGCTCCTCCTCTGACACCATCTGCATCATCTGTAATTTATATTTGAATAAATAATTCAGTAAAGTCACTATCTGCATGTTATAGAAGGCTGGGAACACCAAACACTGTTCTTTTATTGTACTTTATCTTTGTGCTTTTGTGTGAAATTACACTACCAGGTACAGTGGTGGAGAGTATCCAAGTACATTTACTCAAGTATTGAACTCAAGTACAAGTTTAAGGTACTTGCACTGTACTTTAGTCTTTTGTTTTACTTATATATTAATCTGACAGCTTTAGCTTTGTTTTTAATGAACAAAACAAACTTTAGATGATGTTTTGTTCTAAATTAACCCCCAAACAGTTTATACAAGTACAGCTGAAACAATTATTCCATTTATCATTAGTCGATTTAATAAAACATTTAATTTAAAGTATTTGATGGTTTAAGTAAATTTTCATGTAATATCATTCAACAGTTTATTACACATGATGTAATGACGTACGTTGCAGTTCTAACGATTGCTGTTTTAAACACGTCCTTAACGTCATGAAACTGACACAGTTTGCAACAAAAAATCTATTTAGGTTAACACAACAAAACTACCTGGTTAGGTTAACGCAACAAAACTACCTGGTTAAGTTTACGCAACAAAAACTTATTTAGTTTAAGCCAACAAAACGACCTGGTTAGGTTAACGCAACAAAAACCTATTTAGGTTAACACAACAAAACGACCTGCTTAGAATTATGCAATAAAGCTACCTGGTTAGGTTTACAAAACAAAACTATCTGGTTAAGTTTACGCAACAAAACTTCCTGGTTAGGTTAACACAGCGCAACTACCTGGTTAGGTTAATGCAAAAAAACTTCCTGGTTAGGTTAACGCAACAAAAAACCTATTTAGGTTTACACAATAAAACTACCTGGTTAGGTTAACGCAAAACAAAACTACCTGGCTAGGTTAACGCAACAAAAAACCTATTTAGGTTAACACAACAAAACTACCTGGTTAGGTTAACGCAAAACAAAACTACCTGGCTAGGTTAACGCAACAAAAAACCTATTTAGGTTAACACAACAAAACTACCTGGTTAGGTTAACACAAAACAAAACTACCTGGTTAGGTTAACGCAACAAAACGACCTGGTTAGAATTATGCAATAAAGCTACCTGATTAGGTTTACAAAACAAAACTATCTGGTTAAGTTTACGCAACAAAAACCTGGTTAGGTTAACGCAGCAAAACTTCCTAGTTGGGTTAATGCAACAAAACTTCCTGGTTAGGTTAACACAGATCAACTACCTGGTTAGAGTTATGCAATAAAGCTACCTGGTTAGGTTTACACAACAAAACGACCTGGTTAGATTAATGCAACAAAACTACATGGCTAGGTTAACGCAAGAAAATGACCTGGTTAGTTTTTTTTCAACAAAGCTACCTGGTAAGGTTTACGTAACAAAACTACCTGGTTAAGTTTATGCAACAAAAAACCTTGTTAGGTTAACGCAACAAAACTACCTGGATAAGTTTACGCAACAAAAACCTAGTTAGATTAATGCAAGAAAATGACCTGGTTAGGTTAACGCTACAAATTTACCTGGTTAGATTTATGCAATAAAGCTACCTGGTTAGGATTACACAACAAAACTACCATGATTTGGCATTAAATAAGTAATTTTGTCACTCCTTCAGTCTTTAGCTTAAGCTGAGCTCACAGACTTCTGACTGTAGCTTCATATTTAATGAACAGACATCAGAGTAACAAGTTCCCAAATTGTCAGACTAAGTTTTTCTCAATAGTTTTTTGTCCTTCTTTCTCTCCAGCTCTCTGATCTTCTGACCTTCAGCAACCTCTGATGATCTCAAAGTGATGACCCACCTTCATCATCACCACACCCGTCGCCATGGTCACCCATCACCTCGGTGACCAACCTGTCCGCCACCAAACCCTCCGCCTCCTCCCCTCTTTGCTCCCATCCAATCGGCCACGGTGATGCACGTGATGGGCAGCGTCTCCCCGGCCAATGAGAGGCAGGGATTCTTCCTCCAGGAGGAGGGCGTGGCCATCACCGTGCCAACGTCTCCCCATCATCCTCCGTCTGGATTTTCTGATGTCGAGGACAATCGGGCGAGACTGTCACTTCCTCCCCCTCCTCCCCCAGCACCTCCTCTTCCTCCTCCTCCTCCTCCTCCTCCTCCCCCTCCCCCTCCACCCCTGCTTCCAGGGCTAGGAGATCCTGTAGGAGGCCTGAGGAAGAAGAAGAGAGTGAGGAGTTTCTTTTGGAAGACGATACCAGAGGATCAGGTAGAGTCACATTTTTTATTTTATTATTTTGATATCAGAGTGTATATATTTTGAGTATTTTGAGTATCATAACATCAGTTCTTACTGACTTCCTGTTTTTACAAGGCCGTCTCTTTCTATTCCTGGTTTAACTGTGGTTAGTTTTAATTGTGATCCGCAGTGACCTTTGGACCTGGTTCTTGTTCTGTTCTGTAGGTGAAGGGGCGGGCCAACCTGTGGACTCAGGGCCGAGTGCAGCAGCAGTACCAGATCGACGTCCGCACCATCGAAGAGCTGTTTGGTCAAAACGACAATCAGTCAAACACTGAGGCCACGCCCACCAGGGGAGGGAAGACGAGGAGCTCGTTCAGAGAGGCCAAAGAGGAGGTGTGTGTGTTTGTTGAGGGTGCGTGTGGACAGTTTCCAACTGGGTTCTCACCTCAAACTGACACCTGTTCACCTTTACCTCCCTGTGTGTCTGTCACTCTGTCAGGTCTGCATCCTAGACTCTAAGCGAGGGATGAACATCGGGATTTTCCTCAAACAGTTCAAGAGGTAAAATCTCACGTTGTGACCTCAAACACTTTTTTACTTTACATTACCTGAAGAGAAATATTCTCCAAACAAATGTTTCAGAAGTCAATGAAATTCTCTCTGAAAATAGACAGTATTGTATTGTACAGTACAGTATTGTTAACACTGTGCTACATTACAGAGAAATACAAAACCGTACTGATGAACCTTCATTAATATAGGCCTATATTTTATCTACAAGTGCACGTCACACACTGAGCGAGCCGCCTGTTAATGACGCTGTCTGCAAAGCAGGAATGATTGTGCCAAGTGGCTAATGGGCATGTAGTTGGAGGAAATAAAATCCAACATCAACATCCCTGAAAGTCAGATCGAAGGATGAAAAGCAACAGACCATCTTGTATGTTAAAGATCACAGGTTTGATTCTCAGAGGAGATAAATAAGAAAAGGTCTTGATCAGGTTACACCTCTCTCTCTGGCCGATGCTGGTGGGTAATACCTGTGCTGTCTGATTGGCTCCATGTGGATCAGTCAATACATGTCAGTCATGGACGGGAGTTTACAGGAACATTACTCGAGAACCGAATATCACCTCTATGACCCAGGGTGTCACTCTAACAGAGAGGGTGGTGGTGTGTGTGCGTGATGACATGATGGCGTGATGAGTGTGTCCTCACCCTCATCCAGGGGTGTTGTGGGTAAACAGATGTGGTGATGCCAGCATGTGGTGACAGAGTGCAGACGGAGACGCTCTTTAACATGTGACTGGTTCCAAGTCATGTTAGAGGACAGTGATGATACTGAACAGGCCCGCACAGCTTTAAAGATGTCACTGAAATAAATAATCAAATCTAATATATTAATTATATAAACAGCCACAAAGACACACAGTATGACTACAAAGAAACACAATATGACCACGAAGCAACGCAAAGGCGCATCAAATGGCCACAAAGAGACAAAACAGCCTAAAAGACACACAAAATGACTTCAGAGACACAAAACCACTACAAAGAGACACAAACAACAAAGAGATAAAAAAAAAGTCCACAAAGACACACAAAACTTCTACAAAGAGACACAAAAGTGCCACAAAGATACACAATATGACTACAACAAGACACAAAAGAACTACAAAGTGACACAATATAACCACAAAACAACGCAAAACAGCCACAAAGGCACATCAAATGACTACAAAGAGACACAATACAACTACAAAGAGGCACAAAAGGACTTCAAAGAGACACAAAGGACTTCGAAGAGATACAAAACAACTACAAAGAGGCACAAAAGGACTTCAAAGAGACACAAAGGACTTCGAAGAGACACAAAACAACCACAAAGAGGCTCAAAAGGACTACAAAAGAGACACAAAAGGACTACATAGAGGCACAAAAGGACTTCAAAGAGACACAAAAAGGCCTACAAAGAGACATAAAAGGACTACAAAGAGACACAAAAGGACTACAAAGAGGCACAAAACAACCACAAAGAGGCTCAAAAGGACTACAAAAGGCAAAAAAGGACTACATAGAGACACAAAAGGACTTCAAAGAGACACAAAACAACCACCAAGAGGCTCAAAAGGACTACAAAGAGACACAAAACGGCCTTTAAGAGACTCAAAACAGCCACAAAGAGACACAAAATGACTACAAATAGACACAAAACCACTACAAGACACAAACAGCAAAGAGATAAAAAATTCCAGACACACAAAAGAGCAACAAAGAGGCACAGAAGGACTACAAAGAGACACAAATGAGGCACAAAAGAACTACAAAGAGAAGCAAAATGTCGCATTGCTGTGACTTTGAGGAATAACTGAATTTATGTTGTTGGAACGTCTGTTAAACTGGTGACGTTATAAAGGAGCTGGAGAGGTCTGACTCTGCAGCCGTATGTCAAATAAAAATCCAGACTTTTAAGTCACTGCACAACTCAGTTGTTTTGCATCCCGGTTGAAAAAGAAAGCACAGACTCAGAGGGAGACAAAATGAGATCCATAACCTAGGAGGGTTTGGTTTGTTAACACTGAGGGAGTCACAAAGTGTCCTGAGCGTGTTTGTGTTGTGTCGACATGTTTCCAAACACACTGAGGGACATACAGGCATGAGGGACACACACTGCTGCTGTCTTACAGAAACTACCAGCAAATATAACAGTAGTGTCGTCTCATGATGATAAACTATTTCACATGCTGTGACAGTTTTATTCACACTATGCAAACTGAGCTGATGAAATCATTAACAGGAAGTCCGCCTTAAAACACGGACATCTGTACGGGACGTGATCAACCCGCCCTTCACACTGACAGATAGATTGATCACAAGTGCTCAGTGATGTCTTTAAATATGTAGTTTTGTTTAACCAACAGTGCAAAACACAAATATATTCAGTTTACTGTGAAAGAAAACAGACAGTCACACGTGTTCAGTTTCTGACTGATAAATGAATCAGTTATCAATATATCTGACGATTAGTTCTCCATTGATTGACTTATTATTGAATGTAAAATCCTCCTCAAGGTCCAATCAGACGATAGTAGACGACATTCACCGTGGCAACAGTGAGCCTTATGGGGCGGAGCCTCTGAGAGAGCTGCTGAAGCTGCTGCCGGAGATAGAGGAGGTAACACACACACACACACACACACACACACACACACACACACGTTAATGACATCATGTTAGTATCTTCTTCTTCTTCATGTGTTTTCTCTCCCAAAGGTGAAGAAGCTGAAGGGGTACCGCGGCGACGTCTCTAAGCTCTCATTGGCCGATTCCTTTGTGTACCTGCTGGTTCAGCTCCCCAGGTAAAACGCTGTGACCTTTGACCTCCATCAGGCACTTTTGCTGTCGGTCACCTGTGATGTTGGTGATCAGGGAGTTAATTCTCATCCTGAGAGAGAGCTGGGCCCCATTTTATCAACAGATCTATTTTATTTATTTTATTTATTTATTTATTTTTTTTGATGTGTGTGTGGGGGGGGTTAATTTATTTATTTTTTCTTATTTTTTTTTCTTTCTGTATTTACTTATTTATTTATTGGTGTGTTATTTTTATTAATTTGTTTTATTTCTTATATGACAGCATTTTTTAAATTATTTTTTTCTTTTATTTATTGATTAATTTATCAGGCGTTTGTGTGTTGGGCAGACTTTTTACATTATTTTAATTTTCTTTATTTAATATTCTAGGTATTATCTATGTATTTTATCTATGTATTTATTTTTTCAGGGGGATGTTTCATTTTTCTTTTCTTTTATTTTTGTAAATATTTTTTGGTGTGTGGTGGAGGGGCTTTTTACATAGTTTTTATGAATTTTTATTTATTTTATTCGATGTTTTTGGCATGTGGAGGGGACATTGTTGTGTATGTTTGGGGTGATTTTTTACACTGTTTTTATTATTTATTTATTTATTTATCTATTTATTGGTTGGTGTGTGGCATAACTTTTTACTTCATTTTCTTTCAGAAAATAATTATAATTTTTTGTCAGAGCCCAAGCAGTACTGTTTTATTAAAGCTAATACTGATATCAACATTCAAGATTTTTAAAAATCTGACAATATATTGGTCGATACTTCTGATTTAAAACAACAAAAAAATAAACTTAAATGTGTGCTTTCATAGAATTGTTACCCAGATATGTACGACTTGTGTCTGTATTCTTTTAGTTTATTTGTTTATTTATTTATTTATTTATTTATTTATGTCCTTTAATTTGAGTAGTCGGTCTTTTCTTTTCGTTATTTTCCTTGTTACATTCACACACATTGTTGTTTTTCTGTGGATCTGAAGAGACTTCCTCCAGAACAAATGCATTCAGAGTTTCTGGTGGCAGCAGATGGTGCAAAGACTGATGGGCCATGAAGCAGCTGATGGGTGCTCTTAATTTAGAGAAACATTAGCGACTAACAGCAGCGTCCAGCGGGGAGAGCGTAGCTGGAAGGGACTGACATAAAAACACTTTTAAGGAGCTTTTAGTTCTCTCTCCTCACCCTCATGCGTCTCCTGTTGTCCCTCATGAGGTCACACAGGTTTATAAAATGTCGGATGATAATGTATTGTTTTCTCTGTGTTTAGTTACTCGGTCCGTATTGAGTCCATGCTGTTGAAGGAGGAGTTTCCTGGAGTGTGCGAGGCCATGAAACGAGACATTAGGATTCTTCGTTCGGCCACCAGAGGTAAAACCGAAGGATCGGTCCGGTGATATTTTGAGTCGTGTTTTCTTTGTTTTGTCTCCATGTTCGGTGCAAATGATTGATACACACTGAGACTTCAGCATCTTAAAACCTGCAGAGACAGCGCTTCATCAAACCATCTCACACACACACACACACACACACACACACACACACATTACAGACTAACACCTTGACTATTTATAGCAGTGTGTGTGTGAACTTGATAACTGCCTGAATTGTTAACTAACCATCCACATGCTAACACTGTCGATGACACACTCTGGTGCACACAGGATTATAAGCTGTGTGTGTGTGTGTGTGTGTGTGTGTGTGTGTGTGAGAAGATGTTTTCCTCTGTATCTATGTGCCACCGCCTCTTTTTCTTTTCTTGAATCTCATTTTCCACACGATGATTTTAAGCAGGTGATGTTTGTTTGTGTGTTTGTTTGCGTGCTGATGCAAATAAAGGCTTCTTTCTCCTCCAGAGTTAATGTGTTGTGAGGAGCTCCATGCTGTTCTCCACCTGGTGCTGCAGGCTGGAAACATCCTCAACGCCGTGAGTGGAAAAATGCATTCACAAATGATTAGACCACGAACAGAGGAGGAGGGCAGGAGGTGGAGATGGTTGTTTTATGCCTCTTTGTGGTTGTTCTGCATCATTTGTAATCATTTTGTGTCTCTTTGTGGTTGTTTTGGGTCTTTGTAGTTTTTTATGTCTCTTTGTGGTTGTGTTGTGTCTCTTTGTGGTTGTCGTGTGAGTCTTTGTAGTTGTTTTGCATCATTTGTAGTCATTTTGTGTCTCTTTGTGGTTGTCGTGTGAGTCTTTGTAGTTGTTTTGCATCATTTGTAGTCATTTTGTGTATCTTTGTGGTTGTTTTGGGTCTCTTTGTAGTTTTTTATGTCTCTTTGTGGTTGTGTTATGTCTCTTTGTGGTTGTCGTGTGAGTCTTTGTAGTTGTTTTGCATCATTTGTAGTCATTTTGTGTATCTTTGTGGTTGTTTTGGGTTTCTTTGTAGTTTTTTATGTCTCTTTGTGGTTGTGTTGTGTCTCTTTGTGGTTGTCGTGTGAGTCTTTGTAGTTGTTTTGCATCATTTGTAGTCATTTTGTGTCTCTTTGTGGTTGTTGTGTGAGTCTTTGTAGTTGTTTTGCATCATTTGTAGTCATTTTGTGTATCTTTGTGGTTGTTTTGGGTCTCTTTGTAGTTTTTTATGTCTCTTTGTGGTTGTGTTATGTCTCTTTGTGGTTGTTGTGTGAGTCTTTGTAGTTGTTTTGCATCATTTGTAGTCATTTTGTGTCTCTTTGTGGTTGTCATGTGAGTCTTTGTAGTTGTTTTGCATCATTTGTAGTCATTTTGTGTCTCTTTGTGTCTGTCTTGGGTCTCTTTGTATTTTTTTATGTGTCTTTGTGGTTGTTTTTTGTCTCTTTGTGGTTGTCTTGCATCATTTGTGGTTGTCGTTGGAATCTTTGTGGTTGTTTTGTGTATCTTTGTGGTCATTTTGTGTCTCTTTGTAGTTGTGTTGTCTCTTTGTGGTTGTTTTATGTGTGTTTGGTTGTCTTACATCATTTGTGGTTGTTTTGTGCATCTTTGTGGTCATTTTGTGTCTTTGTGATTGTTGTATCTCTTTGTAATTGTTTTTTGTCTCTGTGGTTGTGTTGGGTCTCTTTTTAATTTTTTTTATGTCTCTCTGTGGTTGTCTTGGATCATTTGTGGTTGTCTTGTGAATCTTTATGGTTGTTTTGTATCTCTCTGTAGTCGTTTTGTGCATCTTCGTGGTTGTGTTGTTTATCTTTGTAATTGTTTTTTGTCTCTTTGTGGCTGTCTTGGGTCTCTTTGCAGTTTTTTGTGTCTCGTTTTAGTTGTTTTATGTCTCTTTGTGGTTGTCTTGAATCATTTGCGGTTGTCTTGTGAATCTTTGTGGTTGTTTTGTACCTCTGTAGTCGTTTTGTGCATCTTCGTGGATGTGTTGTTTCTCTTTGTAATTGTTTTGCGTATCTTTGTGGCTGTCTTGTGTCTCTTTGTGGTTTTGTCATGTATCTTTGTTGAGGTCTTTCATTATTTGTAGTCGTTTTGTGCACCTTTATAGTCATTTTGTTTCTCTTTGTGGCTGTAATGTTTCTCTTTTTAGTTGTTTTGCAGATCTTTGTGGTTGTATTATGTATCTTTGTGGCTGTCTTTCATCATTTGTAGTCATTTAGTTTCTCTTTGTGGTTGTGGCGTTTCTCTTTGTAATTGTTTTGCATATTTTTGTGGTTGTCTTGTGTCTCTTTGTGGGGTTTTTCATGTCCTTTTGTAGTTGTTTTGTGCATCTTTGTGGCTATGTTGTTTCTGTTTCTAATTGCTTTTTGTATTTTTGTGATTGTTATGTGTCTTTTTGTGGTTGTTTAATGTATTTTTGTGTTTGTCTTGTGAATCTTTGCGGTTGTATTGTGTCTCTTTGTAGTCGTTTTGTGCATCTTTGTGGCTATGTTATTTCGTTTTCTAATTGCTTTGTATATTTTTGTGGTTGTCATGTGTCTCTTTGTGGTTGTTTTATGTATGTTTGCGGTTGTGTTGTTTCTCTTTGTAATTGTTTTGTGTCTCTTTGTGGTTGTTTTGCTTTATTTTGTAATCATTTGACCAACTAAGTTGTTGTTTCGCGTCTGTTTCTGGTGGTTTTGTGGTCATTTTGTGCAGTTGTTTGTTGTTGTTTGTAGTAATATATGTATCTTTGTATCATATCTAGTTGTCTTATGTCGTGTTGTAGTAGTGTTGCGTATATTTGTGGTTGTTTTGCTTTATTTTGTAATAGTTCTACATTGCAGGATTGTGTTTGTGTCTAATTGCTGTGTTTTCTGTGTGTGTGTGTGTGTGTGTGTGTGTGTGTGTGTGTGTGTGTGTTGCAGGGAGGTTACGCAGGAAACGCAGTGGGTTTCAAGCTGTCTTCCCTTCTGTCTCTGGCCGACACCAAGGCCAACAAACCAGGCATGAACCTGCTGCACTTTGTCGCTCTGGTCAGTAACCTGTGTGTGTGTGTGTGTGTGTGTGTGTGTGTGTGTGTGTGTGGTGTGGTACATGTTCTTTTGTGAGGATCACTTAAGGTTTAGATCTTGAACTGCGAGGATACTTTAAGAGCCATTTAAGGGTGTCAAACCTGTGTTGAGGTGTTGTTGGTGTTGTTGTTACGGGCGAGTGTATGCAGTATGTCAGTGAGGACTCAGATCTTGTACCAATTCTTCTCTCTCCTTCAGGAAGCCCAGAAAAAAGACACAAAGCTGTTGGAGTTTCCTCTGAAGCTGAGTCACGTCCAGCCTGCAGCCAGGTCACACATCTTAGTTACATTCTAAGCACTTCAGTTATACAAATTAAGACTACATTTCCCATCAGCCCCATCAGAGGAAGGAGAAGATTTAGCACAGTAGAGAGTGTTGATTGTAATTTTGATATTAATATAATAATACTAACTCGTTAAGTTGATGTGATAACGGCAAAACAGAGCCAATATGTGAATAAACATACACAATATTTTTGTTTTTGTAGGATCTCCGTGGAAACGCTGGACGCTGAGCTTCAGTGGCTGACATCTCGCACGCGCTCAGTAGAGGAGAATGTCCAGAGAGACACGGAGCTGCTGCAGCAACTTGACGGCTTCCTGCAGGTGAAACAGACACTGCAGTTTGTTCATACAACTTTCAGAGAATCTGCACACAGTATGTTTCTGTCACCATGTAGTCACTGTGTCGTGCTGTGTTTTCACGCCTCTGCATGGGTTTGTTTGCGTCTCAGTCGGCCACCTCGTCTCTGTGCTCGCTGCGCGGCAGTCGGCAGCAGCTGAGGAGGGAGGGCAACGAGCTGATCGACTTCTTCTGTGAAGACAGAGACACGTTCAGGCTGGACGACTGCTTCGGCATCTTCAACACCTTCTGCTCCAAGTTCTCGCATGCTGTCAAGGTACACATACATAAGTATCAGCAAAACTTTTACCTAGATGAGTTTTGTTTGTTTTGTTTATCCACAAGTGTTGATATTTTTAAAGGTATCGTATCAAAGTTAAAAATTCCAGTACTGTGACAACACTAATTAATAACTAAACATCATATTATTATTATTATTAACACTTCAAATTGTGTGTAAAAAAAATCTTAATTGATAAAGCCATCAGATAAATGTAGTGCAGTACTAATAATAATAATGATAATAATAATAATAATAATGATAATAATAATAATTTTTCCCTCTGGGATGTAGAAAAGTAGAATTATAAATTATTACATTCAAGTACTGATACTCTGAATTTGTATTTAAGCACAGTAACTATCTGGCAGCTGGACCTGTGTCACCATACAGAGCACAGCTGACCTCTGCTGCCACCTGGTGTTCAAAGAGAGACATTGCAGTTGTGAAATGATAAAAAACTAAATCTGTGTCTCTCTGAAGGAGAACATGGAGAGGGAGGCGAAGGAGGCCGCGCGGCGCCGGAGGATACAGGAGCTGGAGGAGCAGAAGAGGCACTCATGGGCCGGCGGTGAGGAGGTAGGAGGTCACACACATATGATAATACGTTTTATTGCTGAGTAACTTTCTACCTACAAGGAATTTGACTTATTGGTTTGTTTCATGACTTTAAACAAAGTGCAAAAATATACTATTAAAAAAAACTGCCTGACTGGTGATGAATGTGATTCTGTTGTAGGTGGGTGGAGCCTTCAGGTTGCGCTGCAGCAGCGAGACGGACATGTCATCTGCCATGTCACGACATGATGAGGCCGGGCTGCTGATGGAGCTCCTGACCCCTAAGTACCGCCCCCGCTCACCCTTATTAAACAACTCCCATAATTCTCTGGGGCGCTCAGGGAGCCTACGACGCTTGCGACACTCCCCATCCAGCTCGCCGTCCATTGCCGCAGACCGTGAACTGACCACGCTCCTGGGGATGGCGACCCCTGAACACAAAGAGGCGAGGACAGCTTTTCTATCGGCCTCACCAGAGCTCAGAAGTCCAGGACTCTCCCCTCAGACGCTAAGAGTCCCATCATTCAGCTTCCCCCAAAACCAGCAGCCTCAAACCTCCTCCTCGCCTCCCAAGACTTCTTTGAGCACGCAAAACCATACAACCGCCACTTACCTCAGCTTCGATGCTACCCAGACTCGAGTGAACACCACAGATAAAGCTAAGGTCAAAACTACCTCTGATTCGAACCAGCAATCCGACCACAACAACAACGGCAAAGATCGATTCGGAACGCTTTCAGATCAACAGTCTGGTTTGAGGGGGGAACTCGCTAAAGCTGATCCTGATCTTCGTGGAAGGATCTCCTGCAGTGACGAGAAGTTCCAATGCAACACCTCTACCACAGGAAACATGTCTGTGGTTTTAGAGAAATGCACGCTGGTGCCTGAGCTGAAAGTGTTCGACAAGGTCGCCACCATGACCGGTCACAACGACACAAGTCGCCTCCATGACCATCACCGGGACGATGTGGTGATCACAGATTTAGAAGAAGAGGTGGACAAGAAGCCGCAGAATTACCCTGCAGAAAAATCAGAGACTAGCTCTTCCTTGCCAAAACGAGAGGAAGAGGAAGGACGAGAGGAGACGGTGGTTGTATGGTGTGTGACAGGTGTGTGCGAGGCAGCCGGCGAGCTCACGCACACTGACAACACACATGCACAAACTGAGCAGGATCAGTTTAGAAATGACAATCAGGGAGGAAGCAAACAAGTGTCTTCTGCCCCAGCCAATCGCACGCCTTCAGAACCTCAGTTGGCCAATGAGAAGCCAGTGCCTGTACCCATCAGCAGCCAACCGGTGCCTGTCTCCCGCTGTGACGACCCGTCGCACCCAGCCTCTTCCCCTAGGTGGCACCCTGCAGAGCCTGCAGAGCCTGCATCCACTGCAGGTGCCTCTGAGGAAGTTAAAGAAGCAGCCAATCAAGAGAAAGAAGCAGAGGGCTCCACCAATGAGGAGAGAGATGTGGAGACTGTCCAAGAACAGTCAACAGGTGACCAGAGCAGGGACGAGACTGCTTCCTGTCATGCAACCAGTGAAAACACAGAAGCAGCTTCCTCCACTAATGGAAAGGCAGAAAATTCGTCCAAATCATCCTCAAAGAACCTCCCTACCTCTAAAACTCGACCCCCTGGGATGAAACCAGCCACCACCACCGGCAACAAATGTAAACCAGTCCGCACCCTCACCAACTCTGAGAACCAGGGCATGAGGCGGGTTGTTCCAATCTCCAGGACCAGCCGAGGCGCTTCCTCTTTGGTTAAACGCCCTGAAAAGCCTCCAGGCCAACAGCGAGGCTCCTCAAGCACTGCAACACCGACTGCCTCCAATCTCAGCAGCACCTCTGTCCGGCGAGGAGAGAAGCCGTCGACTGCGCCTTCATCCCGGCGCTCCAGTATCAACAAGGCACCAGACCCCAAGGACTCAAAAGACCAGAGGGTTCCAGGTACACAGGCGTCGGCTCGAGAGAAAAACCAGGACTTGCAAAGGAAGCCGTCTGTCCGAAAGCCGTTAACAAAACCCAAACCTCCGCCGGAGGAGAAGATGTGTCGCTCCACGCTGCGTGCGCTCTCTCAAGGAGGTGGAGGCAGCGTCAGTGCGCCTGTTACACCTTTGCACAAAGCCGCTACCCCGTCATCATCACCGCTTCCAGGTTTCGCCCGAAGCACCGCTTCTTCTTCTTTCAGACGGACCCGCACTACCCTTTCTCCTCCTGCTCCTTCACCTCACACTGGCTCTGACTCCTCCCCTAAATCCTCCCCCAAAACCACCTCCTCCTTCGCTATGCCTTTCACCCGTACAGGCTCACTAAGAGTCCCTGCCACCTCCAGATCCTCAGATCTCCTCAACCCATCCTCATCTTCCTCGTCCTCCTCCCCACTGAGGTCTCAGAGCATCAGGGCATCAACTCGCTCGCCCGTCCACAATTCGCCAGCTCCTCCTAAAGGCCACCGGCGGACCAACAGCGGAAACTTCTCTGACAAGTCAACTCACTCCAGGGACTCGGGCAAGTCCACCAGGCCAAGCTGGAGATAACAAGAGCAATTCGGTGGCTGCATTCCAACAGAAGCGGACGTAAGTGGACGTAAAGTCAGAGGATACATTCCAATATGAAGAAAGGACTCTTATTTATGTAGGAAGCAAGGACACATTCCTGAGCAAACATCTCAAGTTTAGCCGCAGAAAAACAGAAGGTTGCGTTCCAATGAGAAGCACAGACACAGGCGAGGTTGAAGGCCTCGTTGTATTTTAAAGAACTTTATCTCCTATGCACTAAAGCCGGTGGTCAAAGGATGCATCCCATTTAAGAGCCCTGCAGTAAGTACACTTAAAGGATAAAGGCAGTTCCAGCAGTGCCACGTGAAACATGATAGTGATGAAACAATTTACTTATTAGAATTACTTATTTGCTTGAACTCGAAATCTTTTGACTTTGACTAATTTGGACTCCAACATGCATTTTATTTAGCACTCACCTTCCTAAGCTCTTTGTTACCACGTTTCCAACAAACACTTTTGGCACAGAACTCTTAAGGCTCATTCATCCTCTGCACTGGATACATGTTGTCGGCCTGAAATGGGTTTATATCAAGTCCACAAAGTGTCTTAACTCGTGGCTACATTTGGTGAATTTCACCAAGAACAGCGTCACTCCAACACGAGTAATATACAGTAAAGGAAAGCTTCTGATTCCTATGTGTTAAACCCCACCAGCTGGATTATTATTAACACATAAGTTCCTTTTCCTAAGAGCTTTGAAGTCATATAAAGGTCACCAAGGCTTCTATACTTGCATTGACACCCATTTATACTGCTTCCACTTTCATTTTCATGGCAGTTATTTTGTCTTAAGTGCTCCATCGTAGGCAGCTCGACCTGCTTGAGTTTTTTGCAGATGTTTCACCTCTCATCCTAAGGGCCTCTTCAGCTCTAACGGACTGGTGCGGAGTCGCAGGCTTTAAACTCTGTGTGGGTGTGAACCCTTACACCGGTCGTTGGAGTCACAAGAGGAAAAATGTCAGGAATTTGAAAGAACATATAGGAAGCTGACTGATTACAGGAACCACCTGCATTTCAGTTTTAGATGCAGGCAACACAGGATCTTGCCGAACAGCTTACACTTGGCGAAAGGACACAGGGCTGCAGCAGTCCATCTGAGGGCTCCCAACCAGCTGCCCAATGAGAGAGTGAGACAGATTCACTTCACCATTGATCAAGGGCGTAGGAATGAGTTTAACATTGGGGGGGCAAGTGAGTTAGAGATTTTAAAATAAAATATTTTTTTCCTCTGAGGTATAATTTTTGGGTGGGACAAATGCGCCTGTCTCCAATATTCCCCCCGGTTCCTACGCCCTTGCCATTGATGCACTTAAATCTAAGACGGAGTTGATATTTGAAGAACTGACAGCGCTATCCAGTGAAGGCCTGGAAGATGTCTCTAAGGGTGTTTTCACATATAATCCTTTAAGTCCACCAGACACTTTCAGACATGGTACCTAGACCCTAGTGTTTCCACCACAGACAGTCCTCTTAAATGTGGGCGGGGTTGTTGTTACTCACTGCTCCGTCCAGCACTCGCTGTATTTCCTCATCAGCGGTGACACAGATGGAAGTCTGCACCTGGTTTATTGTCCACAGAATGAGGCTGAACGTCGACATTTCCAGAACAAAATAGAACAGGCTGCAGTGAGAGTCTCTCTCCATGGGATATTTAAAAATAGCAGCTTTGTGCATTTAGTCCTTCTCAGGCAAGCTCAGGGGTTTAGTGTTGCTGTAGCCCACAGGAACAACGCTCCACAATGCTTTTTTTTTCTTCAAGCGAGTATTAGAATATATGCAGTTCATATAACCCGGCCGAAATTAATTTATATAAATGCTTGAAGATCCACTCATGACTAAAAGTGTGTGTCATATAAAAACTAAAGTGATGGTCAAAGTTGTCACAGTGAAAGTTAAGGTGTGCTGATGGATTCACGTCGTCACCTCATGCATTGAGTAACATCACAAGTTAACGTTCCACCTTAAAAGTTGCCGGACATAGTTTTGTTTTTACTTTGACGTGTCACTGCAGTGCGTTTATGAAGGCCCTCACTTTAAGATTAATTTGGAATTGGAGGTAAACCTTAGTGTTTCTGTGCTGTGGACTGTTGCTGTTTGATAAATTCTGCATTCCACATCTGGAGACGTGCACTATCCTCCGTGGACCAAACTACTCCTCAACCTGCGCCCTTGCAAGACGTAGTTTCGTCTGTTTTTTCAAGTGTCCCAGGTCAACAGCATGTGATCTAGAGGGCTAAATACAACAGCAAGAGGCAAAGCTAACCTGGAGCAAGGAGAGTCACCACACAAGAGTCGGTTTAGAGGCCTGAACGCCCTAACTTTGTTGAGAGGTCACAGACATTGCAACACACCACAGGCAAGGAACAACAGACATGCTTATTCCTGACACTACACTCTTTTGAGACCTCAGCAACTGTGTAAGGGTCACACCCACACAGAGTTTAAAGCCTGTGACTCCGCACCAGTCAGTTAGACGTGAAGAAGCCTCTTGGATGAGAGGTGAAACATCTTCAAGAAACTCAACAAGTCCAGTTGCCTACGATAGAGCACTTAAGATCACCATGACCTGGGTGACTTGGAAACTTCTCCGACAGGCTGGTACTTTGCCTTCTCAAGAAAATCAAACATGAAAAAATCAGCTGCCACATTGGTCAGTTTTCAAGGGAAGATGAAAAAAGAAAATAAATGTCTGTGTCTCTAAATGTGTAATGATATTTTTCATTTCTGCAGTGTTTCTGGTTAACTGACGTGACTGAGTCCCGTTTTCTTTTTCTGTCTCCTCCTGATTAACTTTATGTCTTAAATTTATATTAAATCCTGCACCTTTAACGTCACTAACCACGCTGAGCAATCCCTGTACGTCCGGCCTGATTAAAATAAAATGATTTTATTGTATTTTAAAGAAATTTTTAGATAAATCACAGAGAATCATGAAGTGTAAAAGAAAAGAGTGATTAGTTTAGACGAGGGGATGTTTAAAGTGTCTCTGATTCAAACCAACAGTGTCTGACTCACTGGGAAAAGTCTGCAGTGCCAACTTTGTTCATATGACGATATTTGTATGTTTATGTATCTCTATTTATGTATGTATGAAGTTAATATTTGATATATATATATATATA